CTTGTCAGATGGTGGAGGTGTCAGGCAGCACTTAGAGGGCAACGATTCATCAAACTTAGAGACAGGAAGGCAAAAGGTGCCTACAGTGTCGATGTAGCAGTGTTTGGAGTGGGGCTGGCAGGGCCCTTCCTGTTTCCTTGCAGTGATGGTCACTAGCATCCAGAAGAAGTGAAGTGGGGGCCAAACGGTGCATCCAGGGCTGAGAGCTGTAGAGCAGGTGCCATTCCCAGAAGGTCAACAAGATGAAGACACTGAGAACGCTTGTCAGAGATCTCTGGGTTCAAGAGCAAAGTCACGGGTCTCCTGCTAGGGAGGGAAGGGAATGGAGTTGGGAAGGCCCAGTCAGTAGGGAAAAAATGGACATGATGAAGGCCTATAGATCTAAATGGAGCTGGAGACCTAGTGGACTGAGGGCGGGAGATGGTAGTGGACCAAGAGGGAGCCATAGGAGTCACAGAGCTGTGAGAGGCACAATTGCTGCTGGAATCCAGGAGTTTGTACTTACTCCTGCTATAGCAGCTGCTACCACTGCTACAGCCCACAGTCACCCACCACTGATGCTGACCCTGCCAGAGGAGAAGTCAGTAGAAGACAAAAGATGGCTTCTCCTTCTTCCTGACATCCAGCCTACTGCCAGTGTCTCCCTGGCAGAGATAAACTGGAAGCCAGCTGGCAAAGCAGTCTGGAAGGTATAGTGTGTAGCCTTCCAGCCTCTTTCAGTACAGAGGAGAGCACTCCACCCCAGAAGTACTAGCTTCCTAATTGCTATGTAAGATCCTCTTTGCCCTTTGTCTGTCAGTCCTTCCAACACCCTTCTACCCAATTTCCTGCCTCAAATTTCTTCCTGTTTGAATTTTCCATAGTTGTACTGTTTTATTCAAACTACAACTATAATCAACTCCAGTATTGAGATCTGATGCTTATATAATTGTGTGGGGTGTCTCTTTAAGAAAGGAATACTCCCAGGTGGTCTAGTGGTTAGGAGCTGGAAAAACAAAAAACAAAACCCAAAAAACGTAAAAGAAAGAAATACAATATTATGAATACTAGATTAACTTTATCAGCTTTATGGTAAATTCACCTCTGCCTATAACTCTACAATTCCACTCCAGAAACTCTTGAACATGTATACCAAGGGACATGGGTGAGTTTTCACAAGGGCATTTCCCTAATAGAAAAAAAACAACTAGCCCATCACTATCAACACAAGAATAAGTGAATGTAGGAAGAGTCAATATTGTATACTAAAAATATATCAATTATCCTCAAACTTTACTTAAAGATTCAATATAATGCCAATTAAATTACTGGGAAGATTAAATGTAGCATGTTAATTCCAAAACTGATCTGTCCCCCTTTACACTAAACACAAAATCAATTACAGATGAAGACTCAAATGTGAAAAGAAAAACTATATAACTTTTAGAGAAAATATAGAATATCTTTATGACCTTTGGGATAAGAAAGTCCATGTGTGTGTGTGTGTCAGGATCTCACTCTGCCACCCAGGCTGGAGTACAGTGGCACCAACACGGCTCACTGCAGCCTCGACCTCCAAGGCTCAGACAATCCTTCTGCCTCAGACTCCCAAGTCTCTGGGACGACATGGGCCACTACACCTGGCTAATTATTTTATTTTTTGTAGAGATGAGGTCTCACTATGTCGCCCAGGCTGGTTTCAAACTTATGAACTCAAACAGTCCCCCTACCTTGGCCTCTGAAAGTGGATTATAGGCGTGAGCCATTGCACCTGGTCAAGTCCTTCTTAAATAAGTCTCAATGAGATCAAACAGTAAGAAACATTTTACTAAATTTCAGTACATTAAAAGATAAGCCAGGCTGGGCATGGTGGATCACACCTGTAATCCCAATACTTTGGGAGGCAGAGGTGAGAGGATTGCTTGAGTCCAGGGTTTCAAGACCAGCCTGGGCAACTTGGCGAGATCTCATCTCTACAATAAATTTTTTTTAAAAATTAGCTGGACATGGTGGCGCATGCCTGTGGTTCCACCTTCTTGGAAGGCTGAGGCAGAAGGATCACCTGAGCCCAGCAGGTTGAGGCTGTGGTAGCTGTGAGCGTGCCACTGGACTACAGCCTGGGTGACAGAGTGAGACGCCGGTTCAAAAAAAAAAAAAAAAAATTAGATGTGATGTGTGTTGTGCCAGCTACTCAGGTGGCTGAGGTGGGAAGATAGCTTGAGCCCAGGAGTTTGAGGTTAACAGCTATGATCACAATACTGCACAACATAGGGAGATCTTCTCAAAAACAAAACAAAAAAACAGTTGGCAGGCTAACGCTATTTGATTTCAAGAACTTATTGTAAAACTACATTAATCAAAACAGCATGATATTTGTGTAAAGATAGAGATCAGTGGAACAGAATAGAGTCTAGAAATAAAACCCACTCACATATAGACACCTAATTTTTTTTTTAGCTGGAGTCTCACTCTGTCGCCCAGACTGGAGTGCAGTGGCCGCTCCTGG